GACACATGGCCAAACAGGACGACGGCACGTGGGATTCTGACGAGGGCTCCCCAAGTCTCATCGATCCTATTCCCGGTGCGAGCGGCTTGGGTGATTTTGGGGGTGCGCCTGGCACTCTCAGAGACCGGGCCTGGCGGACCCTGCTCGGTCCGGTGCACCTCCGCTACGGACTCCTCCTCCGTCCAAGGGACCCAGTAGAAGGGCAGCTTCGCACAGTTCCAGGCAGCGAAGAAGCCCAGGATGGGCATCAACGCCTCAGGCCGGAGCAGTCGTTGGCGCGGCAAACGCCGTGCGGTGCAAACGCCGGTGCGTCGGACAAGGGCCTCAAGGGACCCCATTCCGGCGCGGCTCAAAAGGCCCTTCTAAATGCCTTTGTGACGTTGGCCCCCCGTGGGTCGCCATGAGGAGCTACATGGTGAGCTATCCCCCCCAAACTGGTTTCATAGGCTGAAAACACATGTTTCATGCTGACCAAAGGATGGACGGGATAAAAGTGGTGACAACTGCAAGTTACCCAGATTTGCTCGGCATCTCCTCTTCCACTACACCAGAACTTTGTTCATCCAAACATCTACAAAGGTGACTGAGTTGCAAATCCTGCGGCAAAAGGAGAACAGTATGGGGGATTGTTACAGGCCTTTCGATGTGAGGCACATCCCTGGGCCGAATGAGTTACCATCTCATCACTCAGGCAAAATGACAAGTTGAGTCTCTCTTGCTGAAGAAGATTCCTTTGGCTACCGGTCGGACGTCCTACCGGACTGGACCGCACTTCTCCCACCGGGTCGAATCCCACGTCACCCTCCGACCCCCGTTCTTCCCCTCCTCTTCCCCCCCCGTTCTTCCCCAAGGGGCGTAGGCAGCACATCTCATGGCGCCCCCCCGTGCTCGACCCTTCAGCCCATTGCCGTCTCCCTTGGAGCCATGGCTGACACGGTGAAGAGGTGCCCAGCTGGAAGAGGCGGAAGACGTTTCTATTCAGGGGGGCGCATGTGGCTGTCGACGAAGCATGTTCCTTTTTTCCTGGCCAGTGCCCACGGCTGGCACGACAGAAATTTCATATCACATACCAAGGAGACAAGGAAGCAAAACTGAACTATATTATAAGGCCGTCGCATGCTGTTGCCATCCAAATACTCAGTCAGGCAAGAAATAAAACAATCATGCTTATAATATGGTTATGTACATAGAACCCTTGACAAACTCCAAAGCGCAAAACCGCAGCAAAGGCAACACATGCACAATTTGCTCTCATTGCCCGCTACGACACGTTGGCCTCGCAGCCACATATCCTACTGGAAAAAGATCGGTTAGAATTAGAAAGTCATATTTCTTGCTATACTCACTTGATGAGCGGGTTGGCGAACAGCAGCACCAGAGCAATCACCAGGCCGTAAATGGTCAGGGACTCCATAAAGGCCAAGGA